TTTGTCATGGAACTACTTCGTCGCTTGTAGCGCTCCGGAGATGATGGGCTCCGGTCCTCGCTGCGGCTGCGGAGATGTCAGCGACATGGCCGCTAGGTGAATTGGTGTTGTTTTCCAGCACAGGAACAGTATCCTCCGTATTAATGGATAGCACAGTCGGACCGGGACCGGAGGCAGGAGCGGTGTTGTCTTTCTCTTTGGTCGGGCTCGTCGAGCCGCTGAACATTCTGTAGAGCAACCCGCCCTGGCTGGAGAAGGTTCTCCGCTTACTTCCTGCCAGCTTGATAAACCAATTTAAAACACTGAGATGCGTTCTCGCTATATGAGAAAATATAAGTGTTGGTTTTAAGGGAGTAGATTTCCAGCCTTCCTTTTCTTTTCTTTTTTTTTTTTTTTCTCGCGAACGATGATAATATTCGGGGTGTACTTAGAAGGCAGCTGGGCTTAAAACTGGTATTAACAATGTCAGTCACCGTCCATGAGCGCATAAAGGTAGTTCACCACAAACAATAAAATCCAAGTAAACAAGGGCGGGTGGTACAGTCGAATTCCCCACCAGGGAACGATCAATCTGCTCGAGAACACCTGAAGATCCGACGCTCAACGGCTTCATGTATGTATGTATATACAGCCAGCACAGATACACTGGAAATCAGGATATAGAAACATACCTCCAAAGGGATGATCAACAAGCACCTGACTTCCAACGCAAGGTTACAGGAATAATAGCCCGACCGTAATCCCTTATCCAGCAACTCCAGCGCTGGGAATCGATCCGAGTCAACGGCAGAGGCAGATTTGCGTCGATAACGGGAAACAAGTACAGTTGTCCTGGTGGCGGAAAAGAAAGGCAGAATGAGCAGGGGTTACATATGTTTTGCAGCTGCGGATGAAGGTGAAGTCAGCATCTTTGTCTGTCAGCGCGAGCATTGAGGGCGATATTCCAAGTCTGTGCAGGTTCAAAAACAGGAAGTTGGATCGATTACTCCAAGTATAACTAACTAACTAGTTATGATGGGAGTGGCTTGGGCTAGATGATTGGGGAGTAAGATCTGACGGAGCAAGAACCGAACCCACTAGAGCACACCCCACGTCAAAACAAGCGGGGAGAGGGGAACTGCAAAGAATAGAACAACAACTGGTCAGAGACGACTTACTTCTAGTGTCTAGGATGGTTAGGAACAAGTTGTATGAGAGGATAGACTAGCAGGATGAAGAGGAGTGAGAAGTGAGAGAGTTGGAAGTGATTTAACTAACGGAAGTATGGGGTTAAGTTGAAGGTCTCTCCAGTTCATTATTTACTTTGTCATTTTAAATAGGTGGTTACCGAGTTGACCCTTCTTGGGGCAAAACTCTACTGGGTGTCTTCTGGCATTCAGCGGGGACAAAACATCAACTACGGGGCTACAGGCCTTAGGATACAGGAGTTTAATATTATAAAACCCAACTAATCTACGGAGTCCATATGACAACTATTTATATCCCAGCCCTGCATCATTTTGCCTAGAGGCTCGCTCCAGAGTATTGATTCCGTAATATTTTCCCCGGATATCGCAGGGATCAACAGTTGTTATGACATCTAACAAGGAGGACTGGTTTGTTTGTTCTATAATAGTTATTGCGAGATTGTGATATTCAAATACCCATAATACCCACATTGGCATTATTGCTGATATGAAACGGAAAGCAAATAAAGACAAGGTGGAAATTTGATACTGGAATATTAGCGACTCAGGAAGCAACATGTCTATATCTATGTTGTCGGACACCTCCATCACGTGACCTGCTTGCCACCATATAGTCGTTCTCGTAGCGTGCAATCTCTGCAATTAATGAAGCTTGCCACTCTGTCTGTTATCTCTTAGTGGCTGGCTGTCAGGACGACTACAGCTGTTCAGATAAACATCACAAATAACAAGACTTGTGTACTGCAATATTCCCTGGTATTTAAAAGATTCAGCTGCTATACGTTGTTAATATCGCTGAGGATATGTTTTCGTGCTTTGTAACTATTTTCCATAGGGCATGAGAGCGAACAGGGATGAGTTACTTATACGTCAGGACGTGGAACTGGGCTCCTAAGCTTGCTGTGCATGGAATATGACTTTATGAGTTGGCATAACCCCATCAGTATCTCCAATTTGGGAAGAAGAAGAAGCATGGCCTTGGAGACGCAGGTTGAGCAGCAGCTGAGTTTATAGGGGTAGGCGCCTATTTAAGCCTCACAGTTTTCGAGAGAACCCAGTATAACAGAAGGCTTGTCTGCGATGTCCATATGGTTCTGAATTCAGGATCCTCTGATAACCCGCGCTAAAACTGATGTATTCTAAGAGTACAGAGGATGTCCTCGTTGAAATGTGGGGAAAAGAGAATAGAAAGAAAGATATCAATATATTCAATCAATATAGCCTGAAACAGAACCCAAACACCACTGCCGCAAAAAGCGGACATACATCAGCTAAGCAAAACACCGCCCCAAAGTCATTATAAGAGCAAGATTATCATCACCGTCGGAGACTGTCCAGTCTCGCCTGTAAATCATCGTCGTCCGTATTTGTGCCTCCGCCCGCACCACCTCCACCGCCTCCTCCACCGCCAATTGCCTGGGCCACTCGGCCTTCAGGGACCGAAGCCTTTTGTAGTCCTGAAGGTGTCTCTCCCATCTGTAATTGCAAAATATTAGCAATCTTCGAGCAATATATATATATATATATAAAATGCATAATCTAGAGACACAAACCATCTGTCCCAGATCAACACCAATCTCATCCAGAACCTCCTTAACTATCTCCTCCCCTTCCTCCTCATCCTCGAGCCCCGTGGCTTCATCGATTGCGTCATCCATCAGCTCCTGCCGCTGGTCCATGATCTCATTCTCCCGCTCGAATTCCATGGCTATTCGTTGCAGGGCGGGAAGGTTCATTTGTCGGTTCATACTGCCTAGGAGCATCGTAGCGCCTTTCATTGATTGCATCATTTGCTCGTTACTCCGGACGGTCTATACATATGTGCGCGAATAAAGATAGTTAGTATATCATATATTTCCTCTTGCATGCCAGTGTCTGTCTGTTTAAGGTAGCGCAATCGTACCTGGATCCGTAGAGAGATGGCCTGTAGCTGCGTTCGCATCGAGTAGAACTTTTGTATGTAGCTATGATGACCAAGACAAGACAGGATGGATCAGCAACTCAACCTCGATAAAAACAAACAACCGGCGACATCTCCACGCCCGCTAACTTGGCAAAAACGGGGAGTCATCTTTGTCAGAAACAAAACATACCGTCTCGTCCTCACCAAATCCTTCGCTTGAATCTTGCAGGCGCCTATCTGCCCAGCCTTTGCGCTCTTCTTGATATCCTGCACCAGCTTCCTCTCCTGGTTTTCCAGCTTCACGCGTTCTCTATCCAGTTCCCGCTGTGTTTTCTCCAGTGCCCGTTGATGTTTTCGCAGACGCTCTGCAGGCGTCATGCGCTTTCCAAAGGCCCATTCCACGATCTGGTAGGTTGTCTGGTGAGTACGCGGCAGGGCGGGGAGAGGAGAGGGACCACTTACATTCATTGCAGGGGTGAAACAACTGGAATTGAAGCACCGGTATTCCAGTAATGTATATTAAATCAAAAGGCTACAGAGGAGACAGTATAATCGTAGTTTGTTCTTAAGCAGATATCTCCCTATCAATCCATTGAGCCTTAGGGATCTAAGTTATGCGATGGCCGATAGTTAATGATGGCTGTTGCCCACAAGGCGCCATGCCAAGCCCTTTAACTACCCAACCCACTCTCGGGAAAACTACCTCCGGAGCTCCGACCAGTCAGTCCATGATTATTTTGATCCCCAAAGGACGTCATTGGTGGTTTGTCCAACAAACCCTTATCAAAACAAGTCTTACGACGACAACCGCGTCAAAACGGTCTCTTCGTTTGATGCAGACCACATCCGTCTCCTCTAATCCGGCGTAGCCTCTTCGCTTGCCATGAGTCAGCGATATTTCCCTGGCGAAGTTGTTTCGTCGGCTGGGGAGGGCTCGTCCAAGCACGCGGCTGCTGAATCTTCGAGCAACCTTTTTCCCCAAGGTGACGGACCAGAATATATAGTGGTTGGTTCTGGATCGATTTCTCACAATGCAACCTCATTAATGGCTTCACTGAATAATGATTCTGGATATGGAGGCAGCACAACGGGGGACAGTACCAGTGGATATGATGAGGGTTTAATGGAGGACCGGCCAACTCCTTCCCATACGCCTGTTCTTTCAGGGCAACTCAACGAAGCTGGTTTGTTTATCTCTATTGCATTGCTTACGTGACATATATAAGTCCTTGTGTTTTCCTGATATATCTAATACGTTGTACAGCCGAGCACGAAAGGCAGATTGTAGCCAACCATGTCCATCAATTGTTATAGTATGTTTTTTGAACCCCATTTAGACCCGTTCCTGGCTAACAAATATAATTTTTCCCTTCTAGCAATTCGAATCGAACTCAGCTTAGCCGCTCGATCACTCGTACTGTAGAGCTTCTCAAAGAGCTCCAGGAAATGAATCGTCAGTGGCCTGCTCACTATCCGCCAGTGCAAACCAGCCAACCCCTTTCCCCGCATCCATCTGGTTTCCAGCGGGTGCAATCATATCACGTCAATGCATCAAATCAGAACTGTTTTAAAAGGCCAGATCCTCTACGACGTGCCACGGCGGCGATGGATGGGAGTGAGATCTCTGACTGCAGCGACGCGGTGGAACACAAACCTTCTCCAGGACCGCGCCTGGTAACACCCCAGATTTCCCAGGAATTTTCCGTCCTGAAACTAGATCTCAAACTTGGCGCATTGTCACAGTCAGAGCTGGTCCATTCTCTAGAAAAGGGCTCCATTGCCTCCCTCCTGGACGGCAGGGTGAGTCAGAGCATCAGGCACCTGCTTTCCTTGCGGGACAGAATAGAGGATTTGTCGAGCAAGGTTCTGATTACTGGGGATCTTAATGCGGGTAAATCGACGTTTTGCAATGCTTTGTTGCGCCGCAAAGTTCTCCCGGAAGATCAGCAGCCGTGCACGAGTATCTTTTGCGAAGTTTTGGATGCACGGGAAAACTGTGGGGTTGAGGAAGTCCATGCCATCCACAAGGACCGACAGTATAACCGCAACGATGAGAGCACATATGACGTATATTCAATTCAAGACTTGGAGTCCATTGTGGTGGATAACAGCAAATATATGCAGTGCAAGATTTAT